CATGATGTGTGTATCTGAAACTGATGACTGGCATAATATGATGTTCAGTAGGCCTATATCTGAAACTAAGGTCTGGCATAATATGATGTTCAGTATATCTGAAACTGATGACTGGCATCATGATGTGTGTATCTGAAACTGATGACTGGCATCATGATGTTCAGTATATCTGAAACTGATGACTGACATAATATGATGTTCAGTATATCTGAAACTAATGTCTGACATAATATGATGTTCAGTATATCTGGAGCTGATGACTAACATAATATGATGTTCAGTATATCTGAAACTGATGACTGACATAATGATGTTCAGTATATCTGAAGCTGATGACTGGCATCATGATGTGTGTATCTGAAACTGATGAATGACATAATGATGTTCAGTATATCTGAAACTGATGAATGACATAATGATGTTCAGTATATCTGAAACTGATGAATGACATAATGATGTTCAGTATATCTGAAACTGATGATATCTGAAACTGATGAATGACATAATGATGTTCAGTATATCTGAAACTGATGAATGACATAATGATGTTCAGTATATCTGAAACTGATGAATGACATAATGATGTTCAGTATATCTGAAACTGATGACTGACATATTATGCTCTTTCACAGACGTGACCCTAGCCAACTTCAAATTGTTGTTGGAGCTTACAACTTGATCCTACGTCAGCCGGATGAACAAACATTGGGCGTCGCTCAGATCGTTACATATCCCAACTTCCGTAACTATGGCAACTATCCTAATGACATCGCCCTATTACACCTGGAATCTGTGGTAAAAATAACCAGGTATTTTACAGTTTGATTCTCCCATATTACAAATTAAGGGTGTTTTTTAAAGCAGATTATATTATTATATATTGAGCCCAGCTCCGTTTAGGCAGGCAGGCCCGCTCTTAGGCATACGCTGACTACGCATCCGCGTAGAGCCCCGAACGTGAGGGGGCCCCCGTGAGGCGCCCTCGATCCCCCGGTTTTGTTTTTTATCATTCTGAGTTGAATTCGGAGGCAGGGGAAGGGAAGCAGCAGGGGGGGGGCTTTGGGGGTGGCAGACAGGGAATCGGGGGGCTTGGTCGTGGGAATGGGAAAGAGGAAACATTGATGAAGGCAGAATGGAGGTGCCGCAGTGGTGGGTGGTGTTTTCTCCTCAGCTCGAGGGAGCTCCACCCCCGGACCCCCCCCTTCCGGGGCCCTCAACCTACGCTCCATGCTTAGGGCCCCCAAACTGCAAAGAACGTCTCTGAGCCAGGGGTTTCAAGAGGTGCTAGTTTTTTTTTAATATGTTAATTATTGTCACTACCCATCTTATCGACTAGACATTAGAAATATATTTACTGGCAACATAGCTGATAGAAGAATGGGATGACATAGCTGGTAGAAGAATGGGATAACATAGCTGATGGAAAAGTGGGACAAAATCCGTGTAAAAGTTAAAAAAAATATATGTTTCAAATAGATTAAAATGATAGGCCGACATTACACGCAGTGAGAGTTCTCAAAATCTGAACAAAATAATCATACTTCAGGGATCGTTTGGTCACTCGTTTTCGTGTTAGGGGAGACAACCATTATGAATTTTTTTGTATTGAAGAATTTTGTGATGAGGTTATTGAGGAAAAGGAAAACAATTATGTACATCTCTTGACCAGACTCTCACTGCACACATCACAACAATTTAAAAAAATGTCTGCTTTAAAAAAAAAAATAAATACAGATCATCCAATATTGCATGCTTGCCAGCCCCCGGAGAGGACATAGAAGTGGACCAATCATTAGATGGTGTGGCCTATTCAACTACAGGATGTTGGACAACTGGTTGGGGAATTTCGAGGAGTAAGTAGCAAGACAGAACAACATTTAGATCTATATCTGACGTGCAACTCAATATTGCAGACTAAATCTACACTTAAACAAATCATACAAGCAGGTACAGTTCACCCTGTAGATATAGACAGAGCTATAACACTAAACACAATACCAGCATCAATAAACAAGAAACAACACACAATAAGTCTGATATTACTTTCACAATACAGAAAACATGTATGGCACCACAGACTTAAGGCTTTTTCCCACAAACATAATTACACAGACATTACATTAGAAACACTTTTTAGATTTAAAATACAAAACATAATTCAAAACATATGTTAAGAAATATTATGACAAATAATACATTCATAGTTTATCATTCCAACTCATTTAGACATCAAGTTAAAAAATTAGTAATTTACACAAATGTTTAATTTAGTACACTCTATTTTTAGACATCAAGTTAAAAAATTAGTAATTTAAACAAATGTTTAATTTAGTACACTCTATTATAATGTTAACATTTTGTTTAGTTCAAACTTCAAAAAAAAAAAAAAAAAAAAAAAAAATCGTAGTGGATTTATCTTTAAAAGTGTGTCCACTTTAAGTCGATCCTTAAATTTAAGGACATTATACAAATTATATGTAAGTTTCAATTTAAAATGCCTTTATTAAAAAAAAAAAAAAAAAAAAGTAGCAAGCTACCACTGGAGCCTCGCATATTAGGGCCAATAGTTCAATTGACACGGTATACTCAGTTTACTATTGTTGTATTCTTCTTTTAAACTAACTTTACACCATGCAACACCGTGACGAGTCTTCTAACATTTCTTGGGCAGTGCCGGGTTTTTCCTGTGACTATGACTGTGGGCTAAATAGGCTTAAGCCTAGGACCTCAAACATCTAAGGGGCCTCAAAATTTAAGTAGGTTAAATTTTACAGCTGACCTCACTTGACTCTTGAAAAGATAAATAAACTTTATTAATATTATTATTTTAATTTAGATAAAAATCATTTACAAAAAATATACCACCAATTGTTTAGGTTAAATATTATAGTGCATTCTGTTGGGATATTAACACAGCCATCGCTAAGCCCGGCAACCAGGGACGTCATTTGGGTAGGTTTTGCAGGTTTTGTTTAAATTGCTATGTAGGCCTACTGTGGCGCCTCCAGTAATCAACAACTTAACAAGCCGACCAAGTTTTTTTTTTGCCCCCCCCCCCCCCCACCTGAAATGACATCCCTGCCTGCAACTCTTGGAGCTGCAGGGTGCTTCCGATATTTGAGGTGTTAGGTTGAAAAAAATTAATAGAAAATATTTGAAATTGTATTGTATTGTTCAATAACAAAAGCCAAAAATTTGCAGGGGGCTGTAACTCCTAAATGTCATGTGACCGCTTTGGATATTAATGGAATATATATATATATATATATTTTTATGTAAGGAATTGGGGAAATAATTACAAGGGGTCCCAAAAATATATAATTAGCCTAGCGCCTCTAGTGAGCTAAATTTGGCTATTTTACTGGGTCATTATTTTAATTTTATGCAAAAATAAACAGAATTTCCAGAGTCAATATTTTGTGCAAATAATCAATAGATTATATTTGATCTTGCAGGAATGGGCCATGTTTATACTTTAAATGAGATCAAGGTTCAATTGATAGACCAGAAAACCTGTGCAAACGCATGGTCTGAGTACCTCAGGGACTTCCATATATGTGCTGGCAATGGTGCAGCAGGTACCTGTAGGGTGAGTAAATGATGAAGTAGAGGTGAGTGGGAGGGTCTGCATTTGGTCTCGTTTAATACTTATAAAATTTTCAGTCTTACTACATGTTACAAACAGTTCTTACTATTGCTACATGTTACATACAGGGCTTATTGAAGTGCCAAATGAGCATGTTTAGTATATCTTACATCTATGGAACTTTGTAGATTTAGGACTTAACCCCAGTAGATGTAAGGGCTTTGAGTAGGATTTAGTCCCAGTAGGACTTAACCCCAGTAGATGTAAGGGCTTTGAGTAGGATTTAGTCCCAGTAGATGTTATGTCTTTCAGTAGGACTTAGTTCCACTGGGTGCATGATTTTTGAGCAGGACTTAGTTATAGTGGATGTAATTTACAATGTAAGATCTTTGAGGTTATGGAAGCTATTCAGGTTCTTTTTCAGCATTAAAAATATGTTGGTTAGCTTGTTTTGCTCAACCTAATGGAGAAGATTGCTAAGCTAATGCCACTTAAACTGTTTGAGAAGTTATATATGAATAACTTTTGTAATTCCTCTTTTTGTTTTGCCAATATTACCTGTAACCAGACCACAAGTAGCTAAGATCTAATTAGAAATCTATTCCTGGGCTAAATGACAAACTGGGCAGGGCCCAAAAGTTAAGTTAAAAGATCTAGAGTAGTTCAAACTCGGATCAAGCCATAAATATTTCAAGCAGTCGATTTCAATCCAAGCTGCTCCAATGCTTACAATAAGTTTCTCTTCATCGCCCCAAAATGACTGCACAGAAAAAGCATTACGACAGTTGAAACTCCAATGTGACCAATGATCTACCAAACAGTTTTAATGACTGCACATGTAAGCATACAAAATAAATTCCAATGCTTTTCCATGCAGGGAGATTCTGGCGGACCACTGGTGTGTACCAAACATGGACGGTTCTACTTGGTGGGTGTGGTCTCCTGGGGTGAGGACACTTGCCTTCTCAAGGACTATCCCAATGTCTTCACAAGGGTGTCCAGGTACACAGACTGGATCTATCAAGTGATGAGGACAATGCAGGCCCTTTGACTTTGAGATTTATTACAGTAGCTTACGAGTCTTTCATTTTAATTGAAGCCTTAACAGAATATAAATTACCAGCACAGGGAGTGACCACATATTAAAATCTTGGGATTAAGAGTACAATGGTAAATGATTCATTTAGTCATGGTTGCTTTGATGCTTCCTAACTTATTTGTACATAATATTTCTCTAGCATCATGCAGAAAAGTTTTGGTCACATTGTCACAGATGACAGGGACGGGAAACAGAGAACAGTAACTTGCTGTTTGTTACTTGAGCGGGAAACAGAGAACAGTAACTTGCTGTTTGTTACTTGAGCGGGAAACAGAGAACAGTAACTTGCTGTTTGTTACTTGAGCGGGAAACAGAGAACAGTAACTTGCTGTTTGTTACTTGAGCGGGAAACAGAGAACAGTAACTTGCTGTTTGTTACTTGAGCGGGAAACAGAGAACAGTAACTTGCTGTTTGTTGCTTGAGCGTTATTTGCCTTTTAGTTTTTAATTAAGAAATGTGACTAGGTGCATTTTGCGCATTTGATGTAGTTTCCGAGGTTATAGGAGAGTTTGTGTTTTGGTCTTGTTTGTAAGATAGGCAGATGGCAGCTGTTCGAGAGCTCATCACTTGATAAAGATCAGGGTCACAGAAAGAATCGCCTGGATGATAAAGATCAGAAACACAGAGGAACGGTTACAAAACCATCTTCCATAATAATCACTCTGTGACAGAAACAGATCTGTTTTGTAAACTAAAGCAGAAACTGAGAAACATTGTAACTAGAATATATTTTAAAAAACCAGTAGAAAATGTTCGAAATTTTCTTTATTTTAAACTGCTATTAACTTTCACACAAACTAACAAGGATGTGTCAGAGGATACAAAATGTCATTTAACATAGAGTCCCCAAAAAAGGTGAAGCTGGAGAAAAGCATTATACATTCAGATCGCAAGCAAAATAATTACAATATATGAGACAAACTTTACTTTATGATAAACGTTTGTGTTTAAGTGAAGTTCCCTTTTGTATATACAAAGTTAACTTTATTAACAATGATAATGAATTGATACGGTAATAACATTAATGGTATGGAAATGAGAGTAAGATGATAAAGATGTGAACAATTAATTCCTAGCTAGCCACATTCATTTCTTCTTCTTTATTTTCATCCCCGTCCTGTTGCTCATCAGCTGTAAGAGAAAAAAACCAAGGAATTAACATATTAACCGTTTTTATTTCAGTTTTTTGGACAATCAGAATTTCTAACAAAATACATTTTCTTAATCATTATCATGTGTCTTTTTAGAAAATTTCTCCCTGCTCTCAGTTCCAAAATTTATAAAACATATAACTAAAAAAATATTTACAAAAATAATTTGAACTTTTTAAATTAAAAAAATTATGATTTATTAAAATTGATCCACTATTCTTCTACCAGATATGTTGCCCCACTCTTCTACCAGCTCTGTTGCCCCTTTCTTTTAAATCTGTTTTGCCCCCATCCCCTATCAACTATGTTGCACAACTCTTCTACAGCTATGTTGCAGGTAAATGCATTTCTGTTGCATACAGGTAGTTAATAAGAGGGGTTAGTAATAATGACCAAACATATTTCTTTAAGAAATTAGCATCTTAAAATATAAGCAAATGAGAGGTTTAATCCAAATTGTTTTGAAACTAGACATCAATTATACAGTAATATATAAAAGTCAGATAAACTTACCTTCTAATATGCGCTGCAACTCATGTATAGATGTGATTAAAACCATGAACTGTTTTCTGCGTAACTCCAACTGTTAAAAATAATAACCTTCTATTAGTTTATTGGACCATTTAAACAAAAGCTTTGTTATGAAAGACTCTTTGTTGATAGCAGTATTTAAATTTCATTCAAATAATTTAAGAATTACTATTAAATAGTAAGGGTCTATGATTAGTTAAATGGTGTTTCAATAAAGATTCTATGTTCTTAGAGCTAACCTTTTCTTCCAATTGCCGTCGTGTTGTTGCCAGGGTTGATAATTCTTTGTCTAAAGCTTGAAGTTGTCTGCAGAAATTTGTAATGGTATTATTTAAGCAACGCTAGTAAAGTGGAAAGTAGTGAGAAAACGCAATTTAAAAAAATCTAATGTCTATTTTTATGCAGTAAGAGCTACAATGGAAATAAGATGAAGTAGACTTACTTTTAAGAACTATTATGAATAAAAATGAACTACACTTACTTTAAATTTTAAAGACCTTTAATGGAAATAAGATGAAATAGACTTACTTTAAAGAACTATAATGGAAATAAAATGAACTTGACTTACTTTGTTGTTGCTTGTCTATCTGGTTGCTGCTGTATAATTTTAGCTAAATTGTCATATTCTGTAATGTGCAGATAGAAACAGAGTCAGAAAAAGATGTTCCAAATGTTTGATCTTTAAGAGATTCTTCTTGATTCCATTAACATTACCACCCAGTTAGGGCTCATCCATAAAAGACGTCCACACAAATGGGGGGAGGGGGGTTCAGCAAAAAGTGGACTAAAGTGGACAAAAGGGGGGAGGGGGTTTAGGACAAAGTGGATGTCCACATTGTAGTGATTTTTTGAGTGCAGCAGTTTTGCATAAATTTACTGCAAATTTACTGCCCGATCACAGTTACAGTAGCATGCCTTTTGATCTCTATTGTCCATCGGTGGCTGGGAGAATTTCCAAGAGAATATGTTTCTGCGGTAAATATTTCCCATCACAGGCGGCAATGAAAAAACATAAGGTCGTCCATTGCAATATTCTTGCTAGTGAACATAATATGGCAGACGAATCAGACAAAGAGACTGCCACTCAAATTGAATTAGCAATTGAAGACTCAAGAACAGACGTTGTCATTATACGAAACATTTTTGAATGGCTGCAGTCTGAATTTTCCGTTGATTGAAGAATGGTGGATTATTTGTTTATTACATTTTTTAATACAGTGATTCAATAAAATGTTTTTGAACAGTTATTATTTCATTTAGAATTTTGCCTGCAAATAATTGGAATTTCTAAAAAAAATCTTTGTAAATACAAACTATTTATATTGTACGTTTTCCCAAAATATTCATTAATTTAAGTTCGGTAAATTTTATGTTTTGGACGTCAACAACTGGGGGGTGTGGGGGGGTTGTCAAGTCAAAAGTGGACAAAGGGGGAGGGGGGGGGGTAAAAAATAGCAAAAAAAATGGTGGACGTCTTTTATGGATGGTCCCTTAGAGCAATTATTGATGGTGATGATGTAGGAAATAAAAAAAGCTTCAACATTGCATTGTTTTAAGAATAAGGTTATGCTATACAGTTATCATTATCACAATTTCAATTGGCTCATCATTGGAGTTGGAGGAGATTCAAAAAGATATAGTATGATGATTAAAATTCAAATATACTCATGGTTTGACAGTGTTAATTCTCAATCACTATTCATATGTAAAGCTTTAAATAAGCAAATTTCATTTGCCTTACCTTGTCTGTTTTTCCTAATGCATTTGGCAAGCTGCAGTTCTGTTTTAGCTTCAGCAATTCTTTTAGTGGCCTCCTCTATTTTGTCATCTACATTTTAAAAAAAACAATAAATATGAATTGGTAAATAGTAAACTCCCAAATTGTCATTGGTTGATTTTGTGATTGGCAAAAAATTTTTAATTCAATTTAATTTGATCCACACAACCCATAATTAAGACCTATCAGTTTTTTTTCCTACAACATTTTCTGTCAAGTCAAGGTCTGTCAAATTGAACTCTAAATCAGATTTTATTTTCAGACTCATTTCTTTTTTGAATAATTAACTTTTGTCTATAAGGTTCTGTGATGATTTTTTAAAAGTTAGTAAATGATTATTTTTAAAAAGTTTATTAAGTAAACTCATAAATTAAATGCAAAAATAAAAAAATTATAAAAATGTGTTATTTAATTTTATTTAAAATGTTCTTTGAAAACAAATCAATCCCACTACATTGTAATTTCTAGAACTAACTAACGCACATATTCTGGTGAAGGTCTGAGATTACTCTCTTATGACCCCGGCTAGTAAATTGGCTATCAACTCCATCTGTTGAGCTGAGCCATACAACATTTCCCTCACAAAGGATCCTCCAACCGCCCTGGCTTCCCCCGGGAGATCTAGTGCGGGACACTCCGTCAACAGATGTTCTAAGGTCTCTGGGGCCAGGCTGCAGTGCCGGCAGGTAGGATCTCTGTTGTTGTCCAACCTCCAGAAATATGTGCGCAGGGGGCAGTGCTCGGTGCGCATCTGCGTTACTAGACTCTGCAATCTACGACCTAACCCCCACCATGGGTCTTGTTTGCTAGGAGTAGGCAAGTTCGAATAGACGCCTCTGGCGGTCGTGTTGTCAGCCCATTGCCTGTACCACTTCTGCCTGAAGTGGTCCGCCAGCCAGTTTTTGACTCCCAAGAAAGTCATTGGTACTTCTGGCTGAGGCTGGGCTGCCCCGGTTTTCGCCAGAGTGTCAGCTATCTCATTGCCACTGATGTTGACATGCCCTGGTATCCATTGCATTTCAACCTTGCACCCTATTTCACCAAGTCTGCATATGTCGTTGTGAATGACGTCGACCAGGCGTGTGGTACCCTGTCTCTTCTCCAAGATCTCAAGAGCAGATCTTGAGTCTGAGAAGACAACAATATCAAGCCCCGCATGTTCCGTCCCTTCCAGAGTGATATGGACTCTCTCCAAGGCCTTGTGCATAGCTATAAGCTCCGCGTCAAAGTTTGACGCTGTAGTCCCACAAGGCCCGGAGAGTTTTTCATTGGGTGGTCCACCTACTGGGTACTGAATAAGCGCACCGTACCCAGCAGTTCTTTTCCTAAAGTCAGCAGAGCCGTCCGTGAACACTTTCACAGGTATGTGCGTGAACACATCCATGGTCTCAAGGGCAGCCACTCTCTGTACATGTTCAGGGCTTCGTTTCGTCACTGCTGCATCTGTCAAGGCCAAATGTATGGAGGGGCGTGAGGGTTCCGCATAAGGCGGATTAACTGGGATTTGGGTCAGACGTTCTCTATTTGGGGGCAGGGGAACTGTCCTCTCCAGCTCCACGACCTGGTGCATGAAAGAGGACCTCTTTAGTCTCCTGCCACCCACCCAGTTATTTTGCATTTGAAAGGCTGGTTCATTTTCACCGAGCCGTCGGTACCTCTCTACGGTATTTAAGATGGATTTTTCCCTCCTAATTTGTAGCGGTTCTACATTGGCCAAGACTTCTACAGCAGCTAGAACTAAAATTCTTGAAAACTGCCTCTACTCCTGACTATGCAGTATACATCTAGTATAACGGTCTTTTTATTGTCAATGAGAAAGATTCTGTTGGATTGCACTGCTTTTCTATTAACAAAGAAAGACAAAATTAACTGCCACTTAATAAGTTGAGCACTGTTACTTGGAATTCAGAAACAAAGTACGGGGTCAGAATATTGAAGCTAAGTGAATGTATGATAACAAAATGTCAAGTAACGGTATGTGAACAGAGATGCCAAGTATGTGAACAGAGATGTCAAGTATGTGAACAGAGTGCACTTGGAGCAACTTCCATAACTTTTGCTAAGCATCTAGATATTTCACCTGACATGATGTCTGCCTCATTGTAACACATATTGAATGAGACTTTTAAACATTTTTAATAATTGATGGACCACCCCAAATCATGCAAATACTCTATACCTTTCTCACAACTTCTCACACTACGGCGCCTCTGCCAGCTTAATGAAGACTTTTTAGAAAAAGCTGAAGAAATGTCGGATTTCTTCTGCTCCAGATCTTATCCTGAAACTACTCTTGTCTTGACACTCAATCCTGTCAGCACTATAACATGGAAAGATGCTTTTAAATCTCACCCAAACAAAAATGAAGATCGAACCAAACTCATATTAACCGATCACCCTCACAATTTGACAGCCAAAAAAATATTCATAAAGAATCGTAACATACTTCTTGCTGACCCCGACACTAACAGGGTATTCTCATCCCCTCCATTGATTGTCTTCAGACGGGACAAAAATTCTAGGTGACTTTCTGCTTCATAGTCGCCTTCAAGCTGACCCGTCTTACTTTGGGATTAAGCCATGCTCAAGAAGCTGATGTAAGACGTGTCCCTATAAACTCCAAACAAAAAAAATTTTCCTCCCTAAAGGTACCTTTACCATCAAAGAGAGTTTCACATGCGTTAGTCGTAATGTGATATATGTGATTGTGTGACGTAGATGTCATTCTAGCTATATAGGCAAAACAGGGAGAAGATTGGTAGATAGGTTCACAGAACATCTTCGGGATATTGAACAAGGTAAACTTTCCCCAGTCTCTTAACACTTCAACAGAGAGCAACATAAAGGTGCATTAGATATATCCATTAAGGCACCAATTTCTTGCACAAACACACCAGAGAGGGTGAAAATGGAAAAAACATTTATTCAGCTTTTCGGCACCATATCTCCACAGGGTATTAATTAAATACTCTCATACTAATGTTTCTCAATTTCCCTGTATTTGTTCTTTCTTATTCCTTAGATTTTATGTATCCCTAAATATTTTGGTCCGTTAAGATTCTCTCCCTTATTTTTCACAATACCAATAATTATATTATTTTACTTCCTGTAATCCTACTTCCGGCAACAAAAGGAAATCTCTGAAATTTTTTTTACTGTGTTCTGTTACTTGTCATACTTCTTTTTGTCTTATTTGCTGATGAAGGCTCTAAGCCGAAACATCCAAATATTTTCTCCTGTCTATGATTTCAAGTTCAGCATACCTTGTTCTTATATTTCATTTAAACATTTTTAAGCTGGAAGAAGAAAGTTGGAAAAATATCTTGCTGCAGATGATGTGCTTTCCTAAAGTGACCTGTTCCAGTCTGAGTGTGTTTTCCACTGCTGTTTTGATTTATTGTAGAAACAATGCGGCAGGAGATTTGTTGTTGAGGGATAGGAGATTGATGCCTTTGCAGTTGTTTCAATCAGAGTTCTTTTTTTAGATAGTTTGATGATAGTTTCTGTCTTCTAGTTAGTTCCAAATGTCTTGTAGGGTACGACTGCTTTGCCACGTTCCACTTTTTGTATGGGCATGGCTCCCTCTACTTCCTCAATAGTAATGATAGGTTTCACAACACCTCACCAATGTTTATAAGTGGTGGGGTTTCTGGGTGGTGAGTTTTTTTAAATATTGCCTCAACCCGTTTAACTTTCATTCTCCTTAGTGAAAGTAGTAAAAACCCTTTTATAATGGCTCAGTTAATATTATTAATTATTATTTCTATGTTGTCTCCAAGCAAGTGTACTAATTATGATTTTAGGGCAATAGATTTTTCAAAATCAGGACTTGTTAATTTAGGCAGCTGTTTATTTGAAGCTCAATATCTCATCTCATTATAGTATAAGTTGTACCATTTGAATTTTTTAAAAAATCAGGAATTTGTTCAGCATGGGGCGCTCAGGTATTGGTGTGTCCCAATAAAACTGAAATCCCCTTGATAACATGTTAACTGCTTACCAATATCTTTGCTAAGTTTTTCATAATTGTCCAGCTCCTGTTTATTCATCTCATAGGTGTTCATGGCCTTTTCTAATGTGTATTCACATTGTCCTATCATGGCTTGCATGCGCTGGTACATGGCTTGACTACTGAAAAGATAAGCAGTTTATAGTTAGCTGTTTTCACTCAAGCAGGTTAGGGGGAAAGGACCCTTTTAAGTCAGAAGTGATGAAATGGCATTACCAATTACATCTACCCAGTGACACAGTACATGGGTGTGAAAATTAATAAATCTGAATTTTTTTTGAGCAAGTATCTGCAAATACCATTGTTGGAAAAAGTGATAATTTTGATTTATCAGAGTCAGACAAGTTTGGACAAAGAAATTCAGATGCAGTTTAAAATTAAACTAGACACTCCTGCCCCAGTGCACGACTGGTGTTTTTTTTTAAATTGTGCATACAGTTAACTTTGAGTTTGATTAACATAAATAGATTTATTGATTTCTTCTTTGAGAGAATCGATTTCTGAGTATGCCAATCTCTTATATATATTATGCTTCTGGTGTGACTCGTTCCTAATCAGCGAATTCGGTATTGAGAGTATATTATAAATAATTCTAAATGTTTGAAAGAAAGTATGGTTCAATAATGAGCTCAATAGCGCACAAAATATAATTCCTGATAACTAAGCTAAGTGATATATTTTTTTTAAAAATATGGCAACTGCGTTTGGTGCGTAATATTTTCTTTTTTTAGAGTGAAATCGTCTCAATTTAAGTATGGTGTAAAAACTATTTGGTTTAAAAGTGGTTGGGAAATCATAATATTTAATATAGGTCACGGGCGCGAAATAAAAAGTGTGCGGTGACGTACCATGGGGGGGGGGGGGGAAGAAAAAATTAGGATTATTAAATGTGCATTACTAGATTCATGTTTCATCAAGAAATTTTAGTAGATGGGAAGTTAAATTTTAAAGTTGTACATTTTGTCTAATAGTAAACGCTCCTTTTCACAAAGCTAAAATCTTCACAACAATGAATTTAATACAAATTTAAAAATATATTCCTTAAACACCACAATTAAATAATTAATAATTAAAATTCCCATTAATGGAGCATAAGTGAGTCATACACACAGAGCCATCACATGACCTTTGAGGACCTCCTGCCACTTTTTTTATTTAGTGCCCCCATTCATTCAAAAGTGATTGTTTATTTTTTTTCCCACACAACTTTAGACCCTTTAATATCAGGGGTTGCAGGGCCCATGCCATGGCTCTGCATATCCAGAATATGATAGGAATCAATGCTTGAATACTGAAAATTGGTAGAAAGGGCTAATCTGTTCCCAGGGTATGCCCTAAAATGAAATACAATGAGACAAAATTTGAAACAAGAACATAGCAAATAATGAAATATTGCAGTAAGGGAACAAAGATATTAATAAAACTATTCAAAATAGTAAAAGTAAATGTGATTATTCACTAACTTTTCATCATCATCTTTGGATGACGACCAACGTATAAATGTCTTGAGAAGATTATTTAACCTTTTGTCATCATTTCCACCCTCACCATCAATCAACAGCCGCCTCCGAATAATATCATCTGAAATGTTTTAAAATTAATTAAATTCATTTAGTATTTAGTCAAACAAAGCATGATCAATCCTGTGGTTAATTACGATAATGATATCAAAACTAATATTTGTTATACATGGTTTAATATTAATAGGCTAATTCCCTGGAACCTACGGTATTTATGCTATCATTGATCATGTAAATAAATTATGTCTTCAAATGTCAAACTATGTTTCCACTCCAATAAACTATGCTGGTCATGGCAAAGAGCCATTTAGAATGTTTAGCCAGACAGACAGACATACACAAAGCAGTAGGATTTAATACATTTAAATATGAAGCAGAATGAAAAATAGCAGCTCCCTTGTGTGACGGTAGTCAATCTCAACAAAGTCGTAGTGGGTTCAAATTAATTTGGGGATCATCTCCAAATATCAAATAGTTAGGTAATATGAATTCATTAGACCAGCTGTCTGATCTTGAGTAGGTCAACCCTGAATCAGAACACAGAAGCCAACTGGGCATAGGTCTAAAAATCAGGATTTTCTGAAAGGGGTAGTGGGTAAGGGGTGTTGCTGATGCCTGTGTAGGCGAGGAGTGGGTATGGGGTATCAAGATTTTTTTAAAATATACATGTTGGCATTAAGTGATGACTTTACACTCATTCTCATTACTTATTTTAGCAGTAATGCAGTAACATGATTATTATTAGTATTGTTTGTATATAAATATTAAGGAATTTTAATTTTAAACTTACCTTATTTGAGTCTTGACAACTCAAAATAATACAGTTGCACATTCTTTTTTATTTGAAACTAGTTTATCAAGTACAGCTTGACCAAGTAAATTTTATTTTTGGTTGTTGCTCCGCGGCGGTGTACTTAGCAAAACTATTGACTTTGGCCTGCATACACCGCGGCGGTGTACCTAGCTAAATCATGGTCTGTTGCCTGCGTACACCGCAGCAATTTAAAGTAGCAAAACTATGGTCTTTGCGAGTCTTTAACTTTTTGGCCTAACCGGTACTTGTAGATTTAATGTTATACTCGTGATAAAACTGAAAACTATTTATTTCAAATTCGTTTAGCACCTTTGGAAATATTGATTAAGTTCCACACTTATGTGGCAAAGTACTTGTAAAGCATTTCTTATTATTTTTTGGAAGGGAGGGGGCTGGGGGTGTAATGTTAAACCATGATTTATTTTTAAAGTTAACCACTTTATTTCCCCCCTCCCCAATATATTGAAATACAAATATATTTATTAATTGTTGTAAGTTTTATCATATGATTGTGAATCTTAATAAGCATAAAAAGGGGTAGCTAATTTGAAATTATTCTCCCCCACCCAGTTGTTGTGTTTTTTGTTTTTTTTTGGGGGGAGGGGGCATTATAAATATAACATTGTGATTGTATGTGATCCCTCGGGCGTGGTGTAAAAATGAATGGGAAGCCAGTGAATCTATTTTGTTAGCCCCAAGATATAATTACGCCACAAATACACTACGGGAAGAGAATCACATACTCATACATTGATCATGAAGTCGTGAAGTTAAAGTTGTCCGAGGCATTGTCATTGTGATACCAAGCATGTGTCAACACAAAACAACAGTATGATGATAAATACGAAACACTGCAGTGATTTTTAAAAGTCTTTTAACAATAATTAAATATCATTGATTTAGTTTTACATTGGCATTACACATTAGTAAAAAATGCCGGTGGAGGGGGGATGCAAAAGGTAAGTTTGTTGTGCGGACGTCCTTTGTGGACAACCCCTATCAAGAGCCGTGATTTGTGAAGGTCCCCTTTTTGGTTAAGCCTCTGCTCATCTCACCTCCACCCCCCCCCCCACCCCCCCGCAAGGATCCATTTCTTAACAAAAAAAAACAACAAATACAAAAATAAAAAAACTTTGACATAGCGCAAATCCTGTCCCAAGCCCATTGTGCAATGGTTTCTGTGAGAAAACGTCGTGTTTTACCCTGAGAATAGCACATGCCATGCCATTCTGGAAACAAATTCCGTCATGAAAAGGGTAAACGCAGACCTATGCCTATGGCTTTGCTATACAGTTTGCTACCGCTCCGTAAGTTTCTAAAAATCGAGGTGTTTTCAAAAAGATTTGCTGTGAGACTGAGTGTTGTGAATGAACCTTTGATATCGTGTGTACATTTTGCCAATGCATAAGGCATAGTGAAAGCAAGATGGTTCAAGGTTGAAATACAACCATGCACAATAATGACATTAATATTCATAGTCATATGATATTAATGATATACTAGTATTTTCTTTGGGTGTTCGTAAAAGTAAAATGTAAATATTCAACTACACTAAGATTGTTGAAATACAAAGAATATCACTTAGTATTCATAATGATTCTCTTATACATGTTACATAGACTATACATGCGCTTTCAGAAACTTTATGTTTGTTTTCTAATGTCTAATGTCTTATTACTAAATGTACCGGTATTTTCAAACTCAAAGGCCGGCACAACTTGTTGAAACACACACACATATATATATATATATATATATATATATATATATATATAAAAAAGTGTATTTAATATAATATTTAAAAATATATTTAAATTGTTTAAATTGCTACAAAATATTTTAAAACTGAAATGGGAGTAAAAAAAGCTTGATCCCCTACTGGGAATTGATCTCAAAATATATTATCGCCAAGCGTCCACTCTACCACTTGACCACACAAGATCTTCTCTGGCAAGCATATCTTAAAACAAGGCCAATGGTACATTTTTGCCGCGGTGTACCCAGGCCATAGCCGATGGTTTCGCTAGGTACACCGCCGCGGTGTACGCATCCACTACGTAATTTTTTATTATGCGCAGTTCCAAATTTATTCAACTAATAACTAAGACTAAGGGCATTGAAACTGAAGCCTCAGGAGGACAGGTGTAGAAGTGGGCTTTAGTATAAATGGGATCTGAGTTAATAAGAGCTCAGTGAAACTTTTGATAAATTCATATTTAATTTCACTTCATTTTCATCATGTGAGTCATGTCAATTCTTTCATTTTTCATCAGAATTAGGCTTAATAAATACTTAATCTAAATTCAAGACGGACTTGAAGTCGGTTAGATAATAAAACTGCGAGTTTATCAGAATCAACTTAATTTTAATAGTTAAGTTTAATTTAATACAAAGTTTAGTCTGAACTAAGTGACACACTACACACTGTTTACTACTGACTACTGTTTAAATTAACTGTTGAGTTTAGGGTTTATTTAGAATTTAGTGTTTAGAATAACTCAAACCGAACAAGACCTAAATAAAGTTAATTTTGAGTGTACCACTTTTTTTTTTTTTTTTGAGTTTTGGGGCTTAGCCTGCCTTCTTAGACAAATACATATGTATTTAATTTAAAAACTTGTTTTAATTTACGTCAACAAAACTTACCATCTGCGGCGTTAGCCATTGTGTGTATATAGATCCGGTAAAAAGCCCTGGGTTCTAATTTTTGTGTGTTCCAAAATTTCAAAAATAAAAAACTCAGGAACGTTGCCTAAAACTACTAAAGCAACGAACTAAACTATAGGAAATACCATTCAAATTAAAATTTGATTATCTTTTTCTTATACCATTTATTTGATAATATAAAATTGTGTATCCTTAATTTTTTTTCAGGGCAGTTTTACTAACGGGCCGCGGCCATGTATTGTTACCCCTTACCAGACTAGGGACCATCATAATGTCAATGTTAGGCTTTCACTTTCAAAATTAATAATTAAATCTATCAAAATTAATGTCACGTCTCATGGCTCATCATAAGATTAGCAATAATGTCAATATTAATTTATCATCATTATTATTAAAATCATTCTTATTGATTTTGACTATTCGGTTGTCTTACTAAAATATGTTGAAAAAAATAACATCTGAATTTCGATATAATAAGTAAAACTTGATTGTGTCCTTCCCTTGCTTTAGTTTAAAGTTTAGTGGTAAAAAGGTTTAGGGTTAAAGTTAGGGTTAGAAGTTAGAAACAGTGTAAAAGTTATGGCGATCACTTTGTTAAATGTGTAATAGGTATGGTAAGTAGAGACACAAAAAACCTGAGTTTTTTTTCGGAAAATCCTTTATGAAATGTAATATCCAGCATGTGGGGGGGGGGGGCTGCATTCAATTAACGCACTTTATAACAATCCCAATAAGCGCCCACCACCCTCCGCACGTAACTGCACATTTAAAAAAAAAAAAACTATATTTATATTCTAATGACCTACAAGCTTTTACATCGCATATTTATTACAGCACTATTTGAGCAAAAACAAAAGAAAATATTACGCCCCAAACGCACTTTCGATTTTAAAAAAAAAAGAANTATCTTTTTTTTTTTTTTTTTTTTCTTTTTAAAATATGAAAGGTTTTTTTTTTTTTTTTTTTTTTTTTTTTTTTTTGGGTTTGGGTTGGGGGTAATGCTGAAGACTTAATAGAATACGTTGTCATCGGAAACGAGTGTATGTGCCAAGTTTCAACTAAATAGGTTAACGGGAATTGGATCAATTAGTCGTCCCAAGATTTTACCCTTACCCTGCCCATTACACTAATTATAGTAGGGGGAGTTGGGGCACAGTGGATCAGAAATCTTTTTTTTAATATTCCAAAAGTTTTCACAGATATTTTAATGTTGTATGTGCACAATAATTGTATTACATCTTGGCCTTGGATAGGAATCCTTAAAATGTGGCTAAATATGATATTCTTGCCCACACTAGTGTATGAAGGGGGCGAGATTCGAGTCATTAGAACAAGGTATCACCAGTCCGTGTGCCACTTGAGCGTCTATGTGGCAGATTTGCATTTCATGCAGATTCGGTTCTGCTCGGAGCAAAAACTGCTATTAAAAGGGGCTGTTCGTTAATGACGTCACGCTATTTTGGTAGAATTTTTAACCTTCTCCCCAATTGTCACAAATTTGTAACACAAATTAAACACTTTTATCACAATCGTTACCAATTCTCCCCCCCCCCTTTCACCTTTTCCACGAGTGACCTCGTCTACGGATGGCCCCTAAGCAGGGCCGGCGCTAGGGGATGGCGAAGTAGGCGACCAAGGCCCCACGTTTGCGGGGCCCCGCGCGTTGCCATAGTATATTTATAATATACCTAAGCCTACTAACAGTTCCTAATCCAATCAACACAATATTCGGAAACTACGCGAGTGAACAAATATCCGTTATGACGCGTCCCATTGTGGCCAGCAAGGCCCCGTACGGCCATAACGTGTCTTAATATCATATCGTCGAAATATATAACGTCAACGGCCCCGCAAAATTCAATTTGCCCAAGGCCCCGCACTCTCCTAGAGCTGGCCCTGCCCTAAGCTAAGGTGGCCATCTATAAATCTTAGCAACAATACGCTGTAGTGTTCAGCATGCTGCTTTTCAATAATTTTAATGAATGTGTAGTGGGGATTGAAGCTTTACGCGATGACTTGTAAAAATTTGGACAGACGAGATACAACACATGGCCCCTTTACTTCAGCATTTGTGATTTCACATTTTTCTGATACCATAACATTAATTGGACTCACATACCAGGGGAATTAAATCTTATACAGTACCTGCAGACTGTGGGCTTAGCTCTTGACAAAAGGGGTAGGCTATCTAAGTAGACACAAAGACTTATTCTGTCCAACATGTGCAATCAGACAATGGTGAATGCAACTCGAAAATAACCTTTTAAAGTCATAAGAAGACATACAATGACAGTAATGAAATGTCAACGTGAGATCAGCAGATATTTTGACGAAATAAAATAGTGATCAATATATGGTCAACATTTTACCCGTTTCCCGTGCCAGGTTTATCTATGGCTTCAAGTCAGAGGATCTAGTTTTTTTAGACTAAACATTATAGAGAGCTTTTTGCAATCTACCATGGGACTGTCAAGTCTTCCTGATGTTGCGGCTTCGTCAATTGAAAATGTTATCGTGAAGGATGTTGATTTCGATGAACTGACTGAAAATGCAAGTGTGCTTCCGCAAAATAGTTGTTACAGTCATATGACTAAAAAGCGTGGGGAGCCAATGAAATACAATGATATCGCATGACTTGACAAATACAGTGTTGGACACACGTATACGTTCGCATTGCTGCATGTAAATGTTATGTGACCCATGATTATTTAATCATGACAATGTGAGCTCTCGTTACTTTTTTATGCGCCCATCGATCGTGATATTGACAAGTGGAATGAAATTGGCGATACTGTTGGTGCATGTCTTTGCTATGTGCAAAGAACATTGACTTCAGAGGCGCCCCACACTTTTTTTTTAGTCATATGACCGTAAAAACCAATTAATTGTATAGTTTTAGTCAATTTTTAGGAAAGTGGGTTTTTTTTATAATAAAAAGTATTTTTATGGTGATTATTTTTTCTGGCATCGCTGGACGAAATCACGAGGCTTCTTTTTTTCTTTTTTTTCCCCTCTTTTTTTTGTTTGTTTTTGTTTAGGAGGATAAGCTAGTTCCCTAGACGACAAATCACCGATCTCCACGTATCTGGATAACCCAAAGGAACATCATATGTAGAAGATACAGCCTGGTTCCAGTAGCGTCGCAAGAGTTTTCTGAATTTTCATTGTGTCAGTGTCATATTGTCCACGGGACTCCATCTCCGGATTTTGAATTTATAGTTTTCCTTTCTAGACGAGCTGCCATCCATTGTTAACGAGTCCTATCCACCCGGTGATGTTTTTGTTTGTCTATGCTCTTGCTGGGGATTGAACGCTCGGCCACCGAGCACCCATAGTGTTTTACTTTATATTTTTTTCTTGGAAGATGTAATAGGAGATCAGGTTTGAGTTGAAAAATATGACTAAAAAAGCGTGAGGTGCCCATAAAATACAAACACATGAAAGGGCAGTTGTAACCTGTGTGTTGACCTAATTTTGCTTATCTCTCCCTATTTTTGTTTTCATATTGACGCCACCGATTAAAACTCTAGTGCTCTACCACTACCCACTCTCCCTTGTTTGGGAAAATGTTGTTTACTTTCGAATATATTCTAAATGGAGGTAGGGAATGCGCCCGGGTAATGCAATTTCTATTTTAAAATTTTGGAGGGTTCTAACGCCCTCCTTATAAATAAGTCACCAGTTTCCCCAGCCGGAAGAGATTTGCTAGATTTCCTAGACACGAGACATATTGTGAGATTTACAAGACTTAAATAGGAGCCATACAAGATTATGTGTGTGTATTAATATTTGTATATTTCGAGGATTATACTTTTTTCACGTGGTGTGCTATAAGTTAATATAGTTTTTATTTATGTATATTTGATTTTGATATAAATTTAATATTATAATTATATTGAGCATTGCTAATATCACAAGCTCTGGTAACGTTTTTCTTTGTTTACTGGTTTTCAGTCCTTAGTTACGTGTTGTTCATCTAACGAGCAACACATTAAATTTACGAAACCATAAAACCTTGCGTAACATGAACTGTCTGTGATAAAATGTTCTTGTCATGTAGATTGTTATCGGGAACGAGTAAACGTGCATAAGGAAACGCTGTAGTGAAAACCCGATTTCCATCTCACTTTCCATCCTCGAGATATCCGAAGAGGTCACTTAAGGGTCAGTGGAAGTCACTGGTGATATACCGATCATGAAAGGTTGTATTTAAATCGGGGGTGGATAAGCGTACAAAGTTCCAGCTCAATTGAAAGTCAGGAAGTGGGTCAAAATTGAGATTCAAGATCCCACCACAAAGTTACAAACGGACAGAGCGACCTAAGAAAAAACGTATAAATATAAAGTAAAATGTAAATTCCTTTCTTGCGTTCTTTATGGAACTTGATAATATAAATTTAGAAATATCTTAAGCCCTGCCTGCCAAAAGTCTATTGTTCTGTATGGAACTTGATAACTTAAATTTAGAAATAGTGCTACATGGGGGAAAGCCTTGGGGTTGGGGTGACACAATGAAATTATCGCACTGGGTGACACCAACCCTAGTGACTCTGTCAAAGGAGTATCCATCCAAATCGCATCCGAAGGAAAGCTGCATATTCAAGATAGCACGAATCCTTATCCGTATTAAAAGAATGTCACATGTAAACTTCCCTTGGCCAAAGATGTAAATCAAACATAATGTAGTTAGCAGCCTCTGAACCTAAGAAGCCGCCTCAGTCGTTTGAGGATTTTAACAGGCCATCAGCCTGTAAATGACACCATTCTTGGCACAAGAACCAAACCATTATCGCGAACGCCTAGTTATCCAGGGTTACAACCTAGGTGTTTTTGAGAACTTCACACACCTTTAATCACCTTCTACAGCTTACTCATCAAGATGTGAATGGAACACGTGTTTTTTGCCTCCCTGTGGTACAGTGATTATTTGAGAAATTCCCCCCCCCCCTGGGGGAGGGCCCTTGAGATTTTGCGGGGGGGGGGGGTGGCAGTGCCAGCAGTGCCAGTTGATTTAATGTTGGACATTTTTTGGCCCGGGGGGGGGGGGGGGCACTTGGCTTTCTCCAGGGTGGGGCAGCGCCCCCCCCCCGGAGATATAGGTGAAAGAAACCCTGCTGTGGTACCAGGAGAAATTCTGCTTTTCCTTACTGTGCACTCTATTTAGACGGGAGCGGTACGTTTACTATCTTCAGAGTGTGCTCCAACAGAGAGTCTGCCTCGCCAGTTTTTCGAGCCACAGAAAGTGATTCTCATGACTTCAGGTCGACGTCCATGGATTTGAGCAACACGTTTAGGTGATCTTTTGAAACGGTGTTTTTCATCCTCTCCACACCAGCTGAGTGTTTCCCTCTGGTTAATTCAATTTATTCCCCAGAATAAAGCGCCCAATACAGAAAAGCTTCAACTGGCCTTTAAGTGGGGAACGTTCTCCCTTCTCAGCGCCTTTGTTGTCTTGACCACGTCAAGTGAATGGATATAATTAATAATACCGTTATCACAAGGAGCTGTTCGTGAAAGTACGACTCAAAGGAAGGTCAGGTTTCCGCTTCAAATACGAGTGCAATGAAAATAATAAACATTGACGATTTAAGGGGGGGGGGGCACTGTGCCGAAGACCGTTCCGTTTGGTGCCTTGCTGTCAAACGGTGTTAAGCAGACGGAGGAGGGGAGAAATGTAAACCTTGCTGAAAGAAGGACAACTAGGTAGGCTAAAGCCTTCGACGTTTATTTATTTATTTATTTATTTAGGCATTTTTATATAGCGCTTATCATAAAGCTCTAAGCGCTTTACAATTATTAAAACATGTAAACTAAGTAAAATAAAAATGAGACACTAGGATAGTAACTACTATTCTATAGAAACAATGAAAATGGCTATAAAAAGAGGACACTTTGACACTTCAGGATCAAGCCGAAACAGAAAATGAGGTAGGGCAAGGAGGGTGCATCACAGGTCATAGGCGGACCTAAACAGATGAGTTTTAAGGGACTTTTTGAAACTGGACGAGGTTTCACTATGACGTATATGGAAGGGGAGCTGGTTCCAGAACGTGGGCCCATGGAAGCAGAAGGAGCGTTCACCGATGGTCTTAGTTTTAGTTCTTGGGATTGAGAGGGTTCTACGTTTACACAGAGAAAGCCTCACAGAGACTGCTCACCCAGGATCGGACTCTGGGCACTCATGGAGGTGCGGAAAGTAAGCTAGACAATCGATTATGGGAAGAATAAAAGACGAAATCAAATAACTTCAAGAGCACTCAGATACGTTTTTCAGATACGTTGATCCGTTTTACATTGACTATTTCAAAATTTTTCAAAATAGTATTTATTTTGTCTTTTACACGTTACAAAATTTCTGGTTTAAGTCTTTGTAATCCCCTTTGAACTGTTCTCCATTCAAAATGTGATATCATGACGAACTGGTATAATATTTAATTTACATTCACACCATGCACTTTTGTTCCAGCTCAGGTAAAGAGAGAAATCAATTTAGTGTAATTTTGATATACTTTTATTTAATATTTTGTTTTGGTTGGGTGATTTAGTTCAAAGTTAACAATATATTTCGTGGCACCCATGACATGGAAGGACACTCAAAGTTGCCACGGCATCCCGGGTGAATCAGTGTCCTATTGGCCTACATTCGACCCTGACAATGGATATTATATATGCCAGTTAAATCATCTAAGAAAATAATTTCAATGTATAAATGGTAAATGCAGGATAAATTATTTTCTCCACAATTTCTGACAAACTTGTGGAAGTGATAAGGAGTTATTAAATTATATTATTAAATTTTAAAATAATTAAATCATGAAAGCGAAATAATCTAGGTGTGTTGGTGCCAGCAGTGATCGGATTTTCACGAATATGACGTCAAAGCTCGGTAATTTCCGTGTCGGGAAAAAAAAAAAGCAACAAGAAAAATAAAATGGCGACCCAGGACAGTAGTCCGTCGCTAATTATTGGTCAACAATGGTCAGCACTGGCCGATTTCATGTCTACAAATACAGAAAATGGTGAGATAAATAAATGAATTAACTGCTATTTAAGCACGACCAACTCTCATAGTGGCCAAAATTACCTTTATGAATTTGAAAATAAGCAATGTTTACACGGCTTGTCAGGACGGCTCCGCCGCGTTTAACCAAGAATGGTTGAATGAAAATTGAATTAAAAGCCTAAGAAAGCATATATGTTATGTTATTTACTAATTTAATAAATTAAAATATACTTTAACAAAAGCATTTTACTGGGACTTACAATTTAATGTATATGTTACAGATGATGAAGAAGCAGACAAGGATGGTAATAAAAACTCCAGTGACAGTATGAAACTTGGAAGGCAGGGTAAGAGGAAAACAAAGTCAAAATTGATTTCTAAATTTGAGTTTCTGTCCCCATATTTACACAATTCAATGTTTATAAATTATCAATATGAAATTATATTACTTTGCATAATTAATCATTAAATTAATAATATTAGAGATAACAAATAGGCTAGTCAAGTCCTTTAAAAACAGATTAAAAGATGGATATTCTCACTAATCAGAAACTAAATTTATGTTTAAATTTTAGACTGAATTAAGTAAATTCAGTTTTATTTAGGCCTACTGATGCTGATCACTCATTCACTGGCTTTTACTATTTGGTCTTTGCATATAATAGGGCTTCCTCTCTAATTTTAATTAATATCTGAATCTGTGTCTGAATCTGTGTCATAAAAACAATTTTTAAAAGCAGGTAGGCCTAATTACTAATGTAATTTGATCTTAGACAGGGAGGCTAGCCCTATCGTTAGATTTTTTCTTTGGCCTAGTTGGAAATATTATATGAATAAGAGATGATGTGCTATAGACTAACAAAAGGCCTAATTTGTATAGACTTACCATTTACAGTTAGGCCTACAATACATCATATTATATGCCATGCTCATGTGCACTAATGAGTTATGGTATATCATAGTATATGTTAAGATTATCTATCTGAATGAATGAATTGCATGTTCATGTATACAAATAGTTTAAAAGTAACTAAATTAGCAGAATAATTCAAATTAAAAATATTTCTTGTGAAACATTTAATTTGGTGAGATTTTAAAAAAGAAGATCATCACATCATTCTGAGATAAAAGCCCCTGCAGATTCATTCACAGATTAAATAAAAAAGCCTTTTAGAGCTACTTTTAGGCTCTAAAATAAATGTAAAAAGTTATTACAATTCAGGACACACTTTTTTGGTAGGGCTCAATGTTTCATTTTGTACAAAATAGACTTCAGAATTTCCTATTAATTTAAAAGATTTTCTTCAGTTTAAGGGTCCATTGATTTGTTCAGGTTTAGGAACTATGGATAGACTTACCAGTATATTCATATATGAATTATAGGTAGGTTATTTTAGTATATAGAAGCCTTGTGCCTTCTTAAGAATCTATTGAACAAAGATATTAGGAACATTTTTGACGAACCTAATTTTTGTTTAGATATTTTAAACATTTTATAAAAGTTTATATTTACAAAATGATGTATTGAAAATTTGTACCTGTTTAACGCTAGTAATCTCTGGTCATTTTTTTAATAAATTAACGTAGACTCTGAACTTTTTTGTGTTGATAGTAATTTTCACATGGTCTATAACTTGGTAAAATGTCTTAATTTTCGGTGAAATGCACAAATTATTGTCAACTTTTTCAGCATCCATTTCTTTAGCCAGCTTTCTTTTGACATATAAGTTAGTTATTTAAAACTTATTGTATATAAACATAAATATAACGGATGTGATGTTCAATTGCAACAAGCATTATAATTGACTGCATTCAAGAAAGACATTAAATTAACCTTAGAATATTGGAAAATATATACATTATTATCTTTATGACTGTTTATTATTAGTTTTGTCATTAAATTTTTTGATAAAAATTCTTTCTACAGATATGGGTCTTTTTGGATTCTGTCCATCCAGAGATGAGTTCAGTCTGGTTGTCTGTGAGAAATGCAATCTTTTGGTCAAGCCTCAGGCTCTCAAACAACATATTGGTTTGTTTTATCTTAAATGATGCTAAAGAAACTGAAATTTAAATGACTTAAAATTTACTTTAATAAGTATTTTACTAAAACTGTATATCAATTATAAGATCTCACTATAAGTCACTAATTACATTTAGTGTATTAGTATTAAAAGAATTTGTTTAATTATAATCATTAGTTATGTGAGCTTCGCATATAAAAATAAAATAAACTATATCTTCTTAGAATATCGCCATGGTCCAACCAACCTTAGCAGTTTGGGTAATATTCCTGCTTCAGCACTTAATTCAGAACTTGGTAAGAAATTACTCATGCCACTGCCCTCCAAGTCTTCAGCTCCGGCTCCACCTACCAAATCATCACACACCAGACCTGCTAGTGGAACATTCAAACCAGTATCCTCAGGACGGCCTCCCACAAAGGCTAGCCTGAAGCAAGTGCCTGCTTCTGTGAAAAATGTTTCGGCACCTCGATTAGGCGTCAGTATGAAAATCAGTCCAATGAAATCAGTGAAATCTGGCAATAGAATAACACCACCAACAACAATTGCTTCATCTTCAGCTATTTCAAGTCCAGTTGTAAAGGTGGAGAAATTAGTAAAATTAACCAAACCTGGAGGTAATCAGGAAGGTGACACTTTGGGCTCTCCGCCTGATATACCTAACACAGTTGTAAATAAAGACTCTTCAAAAATATCCACGCTGATAAATGGATCTATCAAATCTGCAATATCACTAACAACGCCTTCATCTATGCCAATAACAACTTCTCCTTCAATAGTGTCTACGCCAACGCTAATAGCGGTAACCAAATCATGGACAGATACTCACCTTAGCACACGCAGTGTAACAACATTTGTCACTACAACAGCAGGCACTAAACCTTTAATGATTGCTCCTGTGATGACAATAGGATCATCAGGTCCTGTGGCTGCGAGGCCAATTTCAAGTACAAAAACAAGCAAAGTCAGTAAAGATCAAAAGGAGAGAAAATTCTTGCCATGCAAAGGTATTTATTCCTTATAATTTATGCATATAATTTAGTGTAATTTCTGATCAGTTTCTCAAAAGGACAAAATAGATATGTAACTATGGTTTTAAGAATAAATGTCCCTCATTTTCCAGATCGTGAATATGATGCCAATAAACATTGCGGAGTCAAAGTGTCGGAGACTGGGAAGTCCTGTACAAGATCTCTTACATGCAAGGTTGGTAGTTGCATTGTTTTTTTGTCCTAGTCAAGTTCAGACAAATAGGCAGGCCTGGCTTCAAGCATTTAAAACGGTATTCTAGTCATCCTAATTTGCAGTAAGAGATTCCTGGGAGTTTAATAAACTATTTAAAAAAAAAAAAGAAGACATTTACTCATTGGGTAATAAAATACAGGTTAAAAAATGGTTTCAATAAAAAAAATGGTTTCAATTAAAAAACACATATTTATAATTTAAATAGAGCAATTGAATTTCAAATAACATTCTTAAACTTTTAAGTTTAATAACTCCTACACTAAGCCTTTCTAACAGCTGATTTACTACATTATCTAAGCAACATCAGACTCGAAGACATTATGTTTTCTCAATTATTTCAGACACACGCACTTTCATTAAGGAGGGCAGTTCCAGGAAGAAGTAAGACTTTTGATGATTTACTTAAAGAGCACAAGGCAGCCAAAGATGCAATACTTAAAGCTAAAGCAGAGAGTCAGAGTGCAACAGCTGCAGCAAATGCAGCAGCCTCAGCAAATCGTGTTCTTGTGTCATCAGCAACAATTAACTCTACTATGAATGCTTTGAAACAGCAGCAAACATCACCACTGATTGCACAACGAGATGGAAAATTAGGTCAACTCGCTGGTGTTACTGTTTCAACCACAAGAACTTTGGTGCCTTCCAGTGGCATACCTGCAACAACAACTTTTGCCAAACCTAGAACTGTGCCCAATGTATTTCAGAGGTATGTTATTGTTATCATTAAGAAGTATCTAACTTGTTCGATATATGTGCAATGCAGATATACTTTAAAAAAAAAGATTGACTAAAATTATAAAATCAATGCTTTTGTCCTACATGTCATAAAGACCTGATGCACTATTTATTAATTTTACTTGTAATGTTGACAGATTCACATCAACAGCATTGCTTCCTCCAGTCATAACAGTCAAAGAGGAGTCACCTGTAAAACAGGAAGCAACACCCAGAGTCCCACTGCCTCCATCAGGGGATTTGCAACGTCCTTGTTTACAGGATAAAAAGCCAGATCAGAGTTATCTGTCTCATCATCCCAAACCAATGGCTGTTAGTGATATTTTGTGTTAGGGGTCGTTCGCAAATTACGTCATGCTCAGGTGGGGAAGGTTGGGGGGGGGGGGGGTGAGAATTTGTGACAGGGGGGGGGGCGGTCAAAAAAATTGTGGCGGCACGCTTTTATAAAAAATTTAATATTTTCTAATTTTGAAAAATCTATATTCAATTAATTTTAAAAACAGTAATTTGAGGTTGAAATTGCCTCAGGTATAATAATGGGGGGAGGGGGGTTGAGAATTTGTGACAGGGGGGAGGGCGGTCAAAAAAATTGTGGCGTCACGCTTTTATAAAAAATCTAATATTTTCTAATTTTGAAAAATCTATATTCAATTAATTTTAAAAACAGTAATTTGAGGTTGAAATTGCCTCAGGTATAATAAGTACTCAAGCGAAAAATGAAGTAAAAACTGTTGTGACCATTTAACATTCGACTCTGGGAGGACTTCGTTGTTTTACGTCATAGTTTTCCAATAATACTACATCTTAATCCATTATGGGAAAATGTTAGAGAATAAAATAAAATCTTAGTTATGAACATGTTATGTATGTTTTGAATTTTTTTTAGGTGCGACGTGACACCAAGGGGGGGGGGTAAAGAATTTGTGACGGGGGGGGAGGGGGGGGGGGGGGGAAAAGGTAATTTTTTGCGTGATGTAATTTGCGAATGCGAATGACCCCCCTTTTTTTTTTATCTAAAGGCCTGGCCCATCTTTGATTTCCACAGAAAATTGGAAACTGATTTAGATATCAAAATAAAAGTACTTGGTATTTAAAACATATAAAACGATACATATCATTTTCGCTTTTAATTCTATTTTTTACCTTAAAACAATAGTTTTGTTAAAGTTTTATCAAAATAATTATTTCATTAAGTATAGAAAGGAAACAAGTATTGAAACAAGCCATTTTCTTTGAAATTGAATTGTTTGAAAATAAATAAATAAAAATAAAATATTGCTAAATGAATTATCGAATGAATAATATATTTTTTCAGATTTGTCAATTTGGAGGTCGGATAAATGACAGGGGTTGTTTTCTCTTCTGTCGAAAGATGGATTATGTGAGGGCTGCATTCCTTAGTGCATTAGAGAGGCAATTGAATCCACCACCACACAAGTAAGTTGTTTCTTCATTCCATATATCTGCACTTCATGTGCTTCCAGGTATTTATGTGCTGTCACAGCTCCTGTGCATTTTTTATAATCTGTGCAGTTATCAATGGTCGATACAACCCAAAAAAAACTTTTCTATATTTTCTTCTATTAAATGTCAATGATAAGATATATTTTTGTGAACAAAGTGTTAAGCATATTTATTACCTTTTACCATGTATCTAAAATGATTGTGATACTTTTCTAATTTGAGACCAATGAAAATCTTCAGAAAACTTTGTGTGGAGTCCAATTTACCAAAGGAAACCCAAGTTACCAGCAGCTCTCATGATCCGTATGAATTCAATATGGTAGATGCCAGTGGTGCATCTTTCAATAAAAACTCTAGTCTAATCAATATTGCAAAACCGAATATTAAACCAAAGTCGAATCTGTCCACATCTCCTCTGGCAGCCTCCTCCAGTCCATTGACATTCACCACCGTCAGTCTCTCTCCAATATCAGTGGCAGCATCATTGTCGTTATCATCTTCCTTAGCTCTTTCAGCTACTCCAATATCTGTGTCCTCGGTGACACCGTCGGGCCTTGCCTTGAACTGGTCTGTCAAACCCCGTGAGGGACTCAATTCACGTAGCCCTTCAGCATCACCTTTACCACCCCTTTCATCAACACCCGTTATAAACCCAGGTAAAAGGAAAAGAAGTGGAAGCAGTGGAGGGTCCAATGGTCAGCTTGTTGCTATCGCCAGTGGTAACGGAGCACTTCCGGTGGCACCTTCTGTTTCACTGGCAGCAATGTCAGCAACTAATTTAAGCGGCGCAATCTCTCAGCAAGCTGGCCTGTCGGGTATCATCACACCAACAAGTTTGAACAGCCACCACACCACAAACTTGATAGCCATTCCCAGTGTTAGCTTGTCCAACACTTATCTGGGCCAATTGAACTCCGCCAAGCTGAACACGTCCATAAGTGGCACGGCACCAGGCTCAGCGCATAAGAACAACAACATATTTAAAGACATCAATCTCTTACTGACTGGTTTGGACTCTGTCAATGGCCAGGTAGTGAACATAACCAGTGCTCAGCTTGCAGAGCTGGCGAGTCAGGGCCAGACTTTATATTTCACACCCAGCAGTTCAGCAGCGTCGGGTTCCACAGGCTCAGTCCCTACAGCTGGGCTTGCCAAACGGAACCGCAGCTCTACGAAATCTCACCTGTCTTTAAATAAATCTGTCTCCAAAATACCAGTCCTGGAAGGATTTAAACTGATTCCAGGCAACAGTGTGATAACATCTGGTGGGCTTCCACCTAATGCCGTCCTCATGGATAGTGGAAGTTTGCAAGGGGCGGTACTCACCTCTGTGGCCTTAGCATCGGGATGTGCCACACCTACTTTAGTGGCGATAACATCCTCCACCGCCAACTCCAACAGCAGTACAGTCACGGGAAACCCGTCACAAATCTTGTGTGTGGTAAGTTCTTCCTTTGGCTAAATTTGTCCTTTATCTTTTCACAAATACAACATTGATAACCCACTTCAGAAATTTTTTATGTTGAGCACCCTAAAAATTTCCTAAATTCACCTGCCTGCCACCCTGCTGCGGTAACAATATTAATCTTCAGTTATTATAGTTGAAAGCTCTTTCTATTTCAAACCTTATTTATTTCTCACTTAATAAAAAAGGAAAGCAATGATGAGGTTCCTTTTAAAAAGAAAAAAAGTTGAATGATTTCTAAAATAGTAATGACCCTTTGCTTAGGCATTATGGTTTGTATAAAAACAGCAGGTTAGGCAGGAATAGTTTAAAAAAATTATTATTTTTGTTAAGAATAAATTATTTATTTGCTTTTCAAAATATTTTGTTTCCAAACAGGATTCTTCCTCTAATCAATTAGCTAGCTCAACATTGGTCAATGGAATAGCACCTTCATATGGTAAGATGACCCTTAAACTTTTATATAGTTAAATTTTTAATACTATTTTTGTCAGGTTATAATTCATTTAAAATTAAATAACATAAGATATTCTTAAACTAGATGTTTTTTGTTTTTTTCAGAAAAGACTGGCAGCAATAGTCAGCGTCACCATGTATCGGCAAAATCACATCATCACCACCACCACCAACAACAGCATGGCAAAACTCAGCAACAACAAACTATAGCCATTGGAAATGTA